GGCGCCAAATATGCATAAAACGAGTGTGCCATGAATGAAATACGTAAATGCGTGTTGTAAAGATCGCAAGTAAAAACAAAAGAATAAGTAAACCTTACAGCAGCATGAGTCGTGACTGTCACGTTAGCCAGATGGGACCAAACCCCCTTTGTGATTTTAAAACGTAAGACAGTACCCAGATTTGAAGACTACAGTAAGATTTAACTGTTAATAAGATTAACTAACCCTACTGTTAATAAGATTTTGGTAGGCTACTATTAGATGGATAGCCTAAATGTCCTAATTCAGATGGGCTACCTGGTTTTTTTTTTAATGGTATATCAAAAAGTGTATATTTTTTAAATGTGATTGTTGGTACATTTTTACCAGTTTTTACCATACTTTCAAAACAAAAATTAAAATAGGAAAAATATGCAATATGAAAATAATTGAAGACAAAATGTGTTTTACTGAGAAAAAACAAGATCTGGTTTTTAAAAAGCCTTTTTCCAAAAGGTACATCTGGAAAAAGGGGGGTCGTCTTATAATCAGGGTCGTCTTATATTCAGGCCAATACGGTATATTAAAATAGAAAACATTTATTTTAATCTCTAAAAATATTTCAATAAATTGCCAAAAAAAATTATACTAATTATACTATTTTGTCTAAATAGACTAAAAGTTAAATATATATATATATAAAGGATGTTCATTTTCGATTATTTAAACATTACATGTACTGCCTTATTAAATTATTAGTGTTTTTAAAGATTACATTTAATTAATGTTAGATGATGGCAAAGGTAATCCAAATATAACCCATATATTTTATAGAATATAATATAACATCATATATAACAAATATCTACTTGTACAGATTAAAAATCTCTATTACTGGCTAACAAATATAGTACCAATATATCACACATCACTACTTAGCAAGCACCACTAAAAATAAACACCCAAGTATAAAATAATGTTATATGAATTAACAAAAATACAGAAACACGTTCCAAGGTAATTCTTCTCCAAGACATAACAGTTGCATAGAGTCGAAAAGGAAAACGCATTAAACTGTATGAGGTTTAGAAAACAGATGACGTTGCTTATTCTGTGTTTAATCATTTTGGCCAGGTTTCCACCACCGTGGTGCAGAAAATTCCTCTTACTGCATTTAATTTGATGTACTGCATGCTATATGTAAGATCAGTATGGTGCATGTGTGTGTGTTTTTGTTTTAATGCACTGCACGATAATGTGTGTGCGTGACTGTGCATGGGTATGTCTCTATTCAACCTTCTATCCTCTCATACCTTGACAACTGACAAATGTAAACTCCTAAATGCTCAGATTAAAGGTATTATTCCAGCACGGGAACCGACCAGCTTTTTCTATTAGGCTTTCTAGTCATTTGAGCAAAGGAGCGAGCGAAAGACAGAAAGAGAGCTATAGAAGCAGAACCTTGTTACAGATCCCAAATCAGATTACACACTGGCAGACCTCATCAAATATTCATTTTATACTTTCAGCCCTCCTAAAAACAGGCTTCAGTTTCTCTCTCACTCCACCAAGTGTTGTATTTAGAGGAGCGGGAGTTTGATGGTGTCTAGATAGCTTCAGGGAGGGTCATGTAGAGTGTGTGGGTGTTTGTGTGAGAAAGAGAAATTAATAATGTAACCGATCTGAACGCTGGATTTCTGTTATGTGGTCTATAACGCTGCAGTACAGTTTGTGATACACAGACACATAAAGGAGGAGGTGCCTCAGGCCACAAAACAGCCATTAGAGTCAATGGCCTGATGACGGTCGTCATTTTAGAGCACTGCAGTGTGGAGAGCTTATAATAACACTATTAGAGAAATCCCACAAAACAGAGAAAGTGAGCGAGGAATGGAAGGGAAAAGCAGTTATTACCTCTACCAAATGAGCCAACAGAGAGAAATCAATGAGCAAAAATGGCTCTGCTCCAAAACCTAGTGAGCTGCCTCAGTGCTCCAGATGTTTAGCTTATCAACATGCTAACATCAAACCCAATTAAAATCAATTGCGAGTTGATTCCCCATGAAGGGGTTAGGATGATTTTAGGTGAAAAAAAAGGGGGTCAGTGAGCGAGAGAGAGAAGCAGGTTGAGAAAAAAGAGCAGGATATTATTTAAAAATGATGGAGGAATGAAAAAAGAGGAGGAACTAACAGTGAGTGAGCAGGACAGGAAAAAGAGATGAGGCACTGATTCAGGGATATACACACACTAGTTCAAAAAGAGTTTTTACTGTTTTGGGAGTTTTGCAGTCAAGGCTGCATTTATTTGATCAAAGATACAGTAAAACAGTAATACTGTCAAATATGATTTAAATGTTACACTAGCAAATGTTTTTTGAGCAGCAAATCAGAATATTAGAATCATTTTACATAGTAAAAACATTTCACAATATTACTGCTTTTGCTGTATTTCTGATTAAATAAATGCAGGCTTGGTGAGCAAAAGAGAATTCTTTAAAAAACATAAAAAATCTGACAGTTCAGAAACTTTTGACTGGTAGTGTATGACTATGTCAAATATTATTTAAATTAATTGTTTTCTATGTTAATACATTTTAAAATGTAATTTATTCTCGTGATGATCCTTCAGAAATCATTATAGTATGCTGATTTGGTGCTCAAGAAACACTTGTTATTAATGTTGGAATCAGTTGAAACCATGATATATATATATATATATATATATATATTTTATTTTTTTCAGGATTTGATGAATAGAAAGTTCATATGAACAGCATTTATTTCAAATAGAAATCTTTTACATTATATAATGTAAAAGTATGTAATGTATATAATGTAATGTTTACATTATAAATGTCACTTCTGATTAATTTAATGCATCCTTGCTGAAAAAAAACTATTAATTTCTTTCAAAAATCAAATTCTAACACACCCTAAGCTTCTTAAAGGTAATATAGAGAACGTATTTCTTGCCCATGCAAAACTCACTATCACAATTCTAGGGTGATGGTGTGGATGGTTGTCAGGATGTTACTAAGGTGTTTTGAGCATTTTTAGCATGTTCCTATGCAGCTGCTAAGGTGTTGCTATATGGTTACTTATTGATTCAAGTCCATATATACATGAATGTCTCAGATCCTACCTTCCCTGCAACAAGTCGCACAGTTTGTACAAATCTGTGTTTGTAGCACAAACAGTACGGGGCAGGTTACATGGCAAAGTTTAATAGTGTAGGGTTAGTATGAGCAACAGCTACTGTAATAAGTCTTAACAGATTAATAACAAGCCTTAGCAAACAGCACTAAATTAAAAGACAGAAAGAGAGATATACCCAGACGCAGGCATTGTCTCAGGATTCCTCCAGAAGACATGTTCTTCTCTGCTTCAATTTCAGTGAAGTTGAGTGAACTGGCGAAGATCAGCACGTCCACGAGATTGATCAGCCTCTGCAAGAACATCAGTGACGCCTCCACAGCCAAACCCTGAGACGGCTCAATGTTCTCCAGCTCATGCTGCAAGACAGTGCCATCATCATCATTATTACTGTAACTACAGCCTTCATAATCAGCATCATCTTCACTCAAATCTTCATAATGCACTGATGGTCACCTTTATCCTCACCCTCACTTTTCATTATCATGGCTATTGTACTCAAATTACTCACAAGAATATAAATGATGATCATTAAGACTCTCTTCTGTCTAATGAGATCTGTGTTAATTTAGTGTGTGCACTCTAACACACCATGAGTTAAGTGTTCTCTCAGACTTGACTGAAATGATCCATTATGTGAATGGCATGGAAAACCATCAAGATTGCTCAGCTTATGCAAAACCTGCATGCTTTTTTTTTTTTTTTAAGACATGTAACTGTGTCTGCAACCCATTTTACTTTTGCAATGTGACCTCTTCAATAAAACAGGAAATTCAATGAGAAACAAATATGCTGTCTGGGGTATTGTTTTATCTATCAGAAATAGAGTCGTTCCGTACAGGAATGGATCTGAATGCAAATGTGGAGGCCATTCCCCTCCTGAAACACCACTGGTTGAAACTTAAGCAGCTTTCGCAATGTTGCATGAAAAGTTATTTCAGAGGCAGAGTAAGTTATTCCATTTTTATAAAAATTGCAATACTTGTTTGTTGTTGTTTCATATTAATGCACTATATTATAACGCTATATTTCATATTAACTATACACAATAAAACCTGAAAGGTGTATTAAATTAAAAAAAGAGGGCACTGCATTTTTTGGAAGCTTAAAGCATAATCAAATTAGTCAAAATATCAAATAACCTAAACTAATAACTAATAGAATTTCATAATGACAAGAACACTGCTGAAATCTGTTGATGTCTACTAGTAAACACTGCCAAACTTACAGTATGACCAATCAATAACGGAGGAAGGGTGGACAAATTCAATTAACCTAACTGTCCTTTAGTGTGACTGAAACACATCAGTGGCAGGGGAAATGCATTGCATCACACCACAGCACTTGAGGCACGAAAGCAAACTTTCCAAATCCATTTGTCCTATTGTCAGGAGTAGCACAAGTGGATGGAGTAAGTCAGATAGAGAACAGGCGCTTCCATTTACTGTCAGCAACTTAAAGTTTTGAGCCATCCTGATGCATCCCATGTAGACAGCATTGCTGATTGTAATGGGTTCTATTTGCTTTTGACGCAATGCGACGTGAAGATCGCTTCAGGTGTAGACAGGCTGTCGGAAACACATACTAACACTAACCGAAGAAGAGGTGGCTGCAGACAGCAAAGGAAGGATTCCTCCACAGGCCATGATGAGGTTGTCCACCACCTGAGAGACTAGATGGACAGTGTTGTGCACAAACATCACGTTCTCACTGCTGTTCACAAAGTCCATAACTGTCTTAGTCGAATGACTGCGGGGAGAAGTGAGAAAACTAGTTATGAAATTATGAAAGAAATTATGAAACAATGCAACATGACAGAGAACTGTCTGTGAGGCAGCAGAAGGGTAATTCAAGGTAATCAACATTCTTGTATTTTACTTTTAATTATAGTCTGAAATATATTTTTATTTATAAAGCACATTTCCCAAGCTCTATGTCACTGAATAAGAGCATAATATTGTAATTCAGTATACTTTCCAGGTTAATATCTATGAACAGCATCTGTCGATTAGCCAAAAATATTTCTCATCCCTTAAGGTGTTTCACACGTGAAATTTCGGGACAATTTCAGACAGAAAATGTCCGTTGTCTACTGTCTGTAGTGTAGCAAGGTATAAAGCATGCACTGTATGAAATTCTGATGGTCAAATTCACAGAACCATCTCGAACCTGATGCAAATTAGTGTGGTGATTTTTTTTTTTTTGATCAATATTGATTTTAACAAGAAGAACATATGTGACACTGGACCACAAAACCAGTCATAAGGGTCAATTTTTTTAAATTGAGATGTATACATCATCTGAAAGCTGAACAAATAAGCTTTCCATTGATGTATGGTTTGTTAGGATCGGACAACTACTTGAAAATCTGGAATCTGAGGGTGCAAAAAAATCAAAATATTGAGAAAATCGCCTTTAAAGTTGTCCAAATGAATTCTTAGCAATGCATATTACTTAACAAAAATTAAGTTTTAATATATTTACTGTAGGAAATTTACAAAATATCTTCATGGAACATGATCTTTACTTAATATTCTAATGATTTTTGGCATAAAAGAAAAATCTATAATTTTGACCCATACAATGAAATTTTGGCTATTGCTACAAATATACCCCAGTGACTTAAGACTGCTTTTGTGCTCCAGGGTCACATATACAGATATTTTATCCCTTTGCCTATTTGACCTTCTTTGGTTCTCTGTGTTTCTCTTACCTTCTCCACATCTGCACATCGGTCTCGATGGAGAACAGCAGGTCGGTCAAAAGACGCTGGTGCATATGAGACCACTTGAACTCTGGGATACGGAACATGGTGGACCGTGCCGAAGACGAGCCCTCATTGCCCTGAGCTGAGGGGCTTGAGGCAGTTGCCTGATTTGGGCTCAGGTTCTGCAAAAGAGGCATGTGTTATTCTAATATTGGTTTTGTGTGACCTTATGAGAAAGTCATTTTCTTGCCTCATGAAGTTTTCAGTTTAATCAATAAATTTAGTGAATTACTGGTATCAAGTTCATCTGTTTTTAATATTGCAAAACTTACTGTTGTTGAGGCGTCCTTCAGCTCCAGTCTCTCTGTGTCTGAGGCCACACTTGACACATCCAGTCTAGCAATTTTAATCTCTTTGGTTTTAGTTGCTAAGGTCTCGGTCCCTGCTGTCTTCAGGGTGTCTTGGTTAGTTCCTGGATCCTGCGAGACACTCTCAGTGCTAGGGCTAGCTGTAGACGCTGTAGTCTCTGTGTGAAGCTTGGTCTCATCGGTGGAGGTGCTTTGGTTTAAATCCACCTCCATCATGGCAGCTGGTGCATCCTCGGATTCCTCTACTTTCTCATTTTGCAGTGGCTTCACATCTTTATCGGTTTCTAGATTCTTTTCTTTCTCCTGTCCTTCATCTTCCTTTTCAGCACCATTGTCATCAGTCTCTCCAGCTGTGGCTGAAACAAAAGAAGACTCCTCCGTGCTGTCATCACTGACCTTTACGAAGTTGCTGACTGAGGAAACATCGGTGCTATCTTCCTTCGTGACGGAGGCCAAAGTTGTGCTGGTCTCCTGGTGGGCCGAAGTCTCAGAGGTTTCTTCCACTCTGGCTTCCTTTACAGCTTCAGGAGAAGAATCTCCAGGTCCTTTCTCTTTATCTTCAACCTGAACATTTAGTTCAGTTTCAGCAGTGCTTGTTTTGCCATCATCTTCATCTGACATCTTCACAGCTTCAGAGTACTGCTTCACAGTCCGAGTACTGTCAGCATCATCTGTCACACTCAGATCAGCTCTACCTTCAGTCATTGTGATGTCAGCCTCAACTCTTTCCAGCTCTCCATCAACGTTAGCCTTCGTTTTATGATTGTCTTCCAAACTTTTCACTTCATTATCCTTTCCTGGTTCTTTCGTAGCATCTTGTTCTCCTTCATCCCCTTTCTGTGGAGAAGCAGCAACGCTGTCTGTCTGTCTCTCTTCCTCATCTCTAGCCAGAATGTTAGACACTGTGACTGGGATCTGGGTCCTCGTTTCCTCACTGTCTCCAGGCTGATCGGTGACCTTCTCCTCCACACGTAGCTCAATTACAGTAGATGGAGCGGTCTCCTCTGCATTCAGCTCACCATTGGCTGAGGCAAGGAACTGAGAATCGTGACTGGTGCCAGATATTGTTCTGATTCTGCTTTCAGATCCTCCCTCAGAACCCATCCGCTGGTACTCAGTGAACATGCGGGCCAGATTCTCTTTGTGTTCCTCAAAGGTGACCTGATGAAACAGGCAGTAAGAGTGTTCGGAGGAATGTTAATTATGCAGAGCAGCAAAAAGTCAATTCTCAATCAGGACAAACTAAAAAGAAATTAGCAGCAATCAAGAACTTTAGGCGATCAAGCAATCAAAAAGTTTGGATGTTTAAATTCTCTCGTCAGTTTAAATGCACCTTACTGATGTAATTATTTTTCACATATGTGATCCTGCACCACAAAACCAGTCTTAAGTGTCAATCATCTGATTATTATATCATATGAAAGCTGAATAAATAAGCTTTCCATTGATGTATGGTTTGTTATGACAGGACAACATTTGGCGGAGATACAACTATTTGAAAATCTGGAATCTGAGGGTGCAAAAAAATCTAAATATTGAGAAAATCATCTTTAAAGTTGTCCAAATTAAGTTCTTAGCAATGCATATTACTAATTAAAAAATAAGTTTTTATATATTTACGGTAGAAAATGTACAAAATATCTTCATTGAATATGATCTTTACTTAATATCCTAATGATTTTTGGCATAAAAGAAAAATCTATAATTTTGACCCATACAATGTATTTTTGGCTATTGCTACAAATATACCCCAGTGACTTAAGACTGGTTTTGTGCTCCAGGGTCACATATTTGTCTATGATCCAAACAGATTTGAGGACAAGAACTAACTGAAGATGAGTTAAGATGAGTTGAGTTGAGATAAGATGAGATAAGATAAGATAAGATAAGATATGAAAACACAATGCAGCGAAAAGAGAGAGGGTCATGTGTGTTTAGGACTGCAATTAGCAGCAGACAGTGCATAGCATCTGCAGATACAGAAGTCTAAGCACACCTCAATTTATCAAAAGAACACAACAGATGGAAAGTCAAACACACCACTGGGGAAACGAGAAACAACTTGCAGCTTCCACACCAATGCCAGCATTTGCATTTAGGCAAGAAAGCCTTATTATACGTAATTAATTGGCCGTTATTGTTCTAAATTAGCCTGCTACAAGCCTGGCCATTAATCTTCCATGTGGTCTGATGGGTAATCCATGGCTGTTTGCTCTGAACGGACAGCTCTGAAACGTATTGCTCGTTTTCTTTCTCTCCCGACTCTCTTCTTTAGAATAGGCAAGACCATTAGTCTGGGCTCAATACAGCATTTAACATTTAGCTATTAAATCCACACAGTGTATTTTCAGAAAAACACTGCCCTCTTTTGGGATTGGATACCAAATGAAGGGAGGGAGACATATGGATAAAACCACTCAAAATTTCGAATGACTGTCCAAACATGTCTGGAGGGCCTGCGAGGCATTTCAGGATTTGTGAAAAATGAAAAGTTAGAACTCCTGTAAACCTCTGAAGGTTTAAAAGCTGCACATGAGGCCCCATGTTATCCTGTTAGGTATTATCTTCAAGAATCAGTAAGTATACCATATGCTGTTAAATGTTTAAAGAATTCCTCATATGTACACTAAAAGCACCTCATTGTCTGGCAGCTTGCTACAATGCGTATCGTACCAATAAAGTATTACGTCATGTAAAAAGCATTACCTTACTATAACCAGCAAAGAGTATATGTGAGCCCTTGGCATGTTGTAGAGATAAAGTTACTCTGGAAAGGGGGTAACTATAGAAATGTGGTTTTGAAACATAGCCTGTATGCCACCGGGTGGGCTAGACATCAGTTTCAATCTGATCTAATTTAATTCCGGTCCGTACTCTATATGTGGGGCATGGAAAAACCTACAATTTATCTAAGAATACAGTACAGGTTTCATGACAATGAGCTTTGCATGACCAGGGTGTCTGGTTGCCAAATTATACAACTTAATGCAAATCCATTTTTCAAGTGACCTTTCAGAAAAATATCAATAATTCATTGTATTTTTTTAAAAACCTGCAATATATAGTGGGTATAGTCCATATATAAATATCAGAATTTGCACTTCACCTTAATATGTGTCCCTGGAGCACAAAACCAGTCTTAAGTCGCTGGGGTATATTTGTAGCAATAGCCAAAAATACACTGTATGGGTCAAAATTATAAATTTTTCCTTTATGCCAAAAATCATAAGGATATTAAGTAAAGATTAGTGGTTGACCGATATCTGTTTTTTGACAGTCGATGCCGATATCATGGAAAGCAGGGTGGCCGATGGCCGATATGAAGCCAATATAATTGTAGTTATTTTAATTAATATTCAAGAAATTTGAAATCATTTGAAAATGGATTAAAAAATAAATGTGTAAAATAAACATACTTATACTTTAGATGACAAAGTATTTTTCACAAATAAATAAATATTTAATAAAAATATAATTAAAAAGGAAGTAAACACTGTAACCAACAGGGCACTCAGTATTCTGGGACGTTTGTGTGCATTGGGAATCATATTTTTTCAAATAAAGCCAAGGTAACATTCATTTTACATACAGCACATAGTGAAAATGACATGAATATGACAGCGGGCAAATGCATAAAGCGCAGCACAATTTGAAATCACGAGTTTAAAGTTTGTCGATAGCGCGTCTTCATTCTCCAGTGAAGCTGAACTCTCCTCCTGTCCGCATTCAATTCGCACAGACCGACCGTCATGCAGAGAACACGCGATCATGCAGGATACAAATGCACCTTTCACAAGATCTCACATCTGGATTCGACTAAGTTTGCAAGGTTTGTGAAATTAAATGTTCATTTTGTTTAAATGCGTATTTGCTGAATGCTTACGGCAAACGAGAAAGTATTATAATGTTTGCCTTTCTATTATTTCTATTACAATACTCTGTATACATTTTAATTCCTTTGTTTAACCGTTCTATCTGATTATTAGGCAGACTTCTATCCGTATTAGACAGAACTGTTAACAACGAATGTGAGCACTGTCTGCTCAGGCGCTGCCACTCTCAGCGCCGTCAAAATAAAAGTCTGGCGCGCCGTCAAAATAAAAGTTTGCCTCGAACACATCGGCCAAACAGAAAAACTTATCGGCCAATGCCGATATTTGAAAAGATATCGGCCGATATATCGGCCTTGGGGATATATCGGTCGGCCACTACTCTCTTTACATGTATTATAAAAAGTTATTTCTGAATTCATACTAGATGTTTGCACTGATTCATAACAGGAGTTGTTTAATAGAATAATTCTGTCCTTGGGTAACTTTTAAATCAAGCTGTTTTTTCAACCATTCAAGCCAGTGCTGAGATCATGGCACAGATAATGAAGATCCCAACGCAGTTTATCAATGGATGTGGTGCGAGTGAAAGGCCCTTATTCATTTGAATTGTAGAAACGAGAGGCATGCTAGACAAGGCTTAGACATCAGCCACCGGCTGCTTTGCTGAGAGATTGAGCTCTGAATGGGCAACTCTATCTCCCTCTGGAGTCTTTCTTCTTAGTCAGCTCTTTATTCTGCAAGTTTCAGATGTTTTCCTTGGAGAGAGATGAGGAGATGAGATGCCTAACTCAGGAGTCGCACAGACTTGTGATGACTAGCATCAATAGCAAACTTGTCTCTGGAAGTGGAGCACCACCGAATGATGTCAGCACACTCACACAGACAGACTAAATTGCACGTTCGCCTTCTCACGCTACTGTGCAAATCAAATGCAAGTAAAAAAATATAAACCATTACGGATATAAAAAATAAAGGTTTGAATGTTTCTGACAGTATGGTGCTACTTTTTGGTTACAACGCAAAAGCCAATTAGTGTTCTGTACTGTCACTATGGTTTGCTTGTGTGCTTATACATAACCTTTAAAACAGGTAAAAATAAAAGTCCCGCCTCGAACGCATCGGCCAAACAAACGGAAACTTATCGCCCGGTGCCGATATATGAAAAATGTCAAATATTGGCCGATATATCGGCCTTGGCGATATATCGGTCGACCACTAGTAAAGATCATGTTTCATGAAGATATTTTGTATATTTCCTACCGTAAATATATAAAAACTTAATTTGTTATTAGTAATATGCATTGCTAGGGACTTTTTGATCATTTGGATAATTTTAAAGGTGATTGTTTTTTTTTTTTGCAACCTCAGATTCCAGATACTGAGAATTTAACTAAATAAATAATCTTTAATTCAAAGGAAGATTCATCAAGCATCAGACTGATGATCTAGCAGAACTTGCAGCAATCAGACTGCAAGCTCAGCAACAGACAGAAACAATGCTTAAATCACTGATCTTAGATCAGCAGGGAGCAGTCGGCCACAGACACTCACAGTAGAGCCGGTAGGGAGCCCCATTTAGATCAATAGATAGTGAGTAACCGCAAAACAAAGGGGAAATAGGAACCCTGCGAATGCTCTAATTGGATTAGTTAAATGCGATTCCATTCCTGCAAAAATCAATGTGGTGAGCAGACTAAAACCCTTCTCTTCTGTCCAAAAGACACTGTTAGTTTTCTTTTTTCCTCCTTCAATACTCTCACAGCTGTTTGCATGAGTGTGGAGTAAAGGTACACAGAGAGAGACTCAGGAAAGACAGGCAAGCACAAGGTAAAAAAATATCTGAACATCACATTAAAAGCAGCAAAAGAACATGAGAAGCAAAACTGCGTAGTGTACCATGTTTTGAATAAAAGTGGTGCATTTCGTCTTGATCCACAGAGACTTTTTTTTTATACTTTCCCACTCACTAGGTTTATTCTTAAAATGAAAAAAAAAAATGGAACTATAACAAAGTTACTATACAATAATACTAAGATGAAAGAGATCATCATATAAAAAAAGGTTGGTCATAAAACACTCAGAAAATTCTTTCAACTTTGCTTTTGTGATGGTATGATAAGCTTGCAAAATGATTGTCAAGAAAGTGAATTGTTTATCAATGTCAATGTCTTTAAACAGTCAATGTTATCCATGTTCTAGAGCCAGTTTGCGTGCCGGCCTATGAGTTTCTTCAATACAGACTGGCTGCAATGTAATGTTCCAATACTGGATCCCATTGTCTTCGAAATCCATAGTATTGCTGTTGTCAAGCATGATAAGCAGCTTCAT